TTCCCTTCGGCTCCTCCCCAATTCCCGCAGTAAAGGCCTCTGCCTTCACACACCTCCAAGAGATCTCTGCCCACTGCCTGACAGTCTGGCCTCTCCCTGTCTGGGGCCATTTATCAGAGCAATAGGGTGATTCTGTTTTCCTCTCGGACAAGAAAGCCAGCCGCATTAGCTGTTCGCCTTCTCCGTGCCAGGAGTAAGCCAGTAGCGAACTCAGCCCGGCCCGCCCTCTCTGCGTGCAGGGAGTAAGCCAGCAGCAATCTCGGTCCGGCCCTTCCTTTCCGCACCGGGATTAAGCCAGCGCCTTTTCGCGCACACAGTTCTCCGTACCTTTACAGTTCCTGAGGTTCAGCGTGCCTTCTCTCTCCTTCCCAGATGGCAGAGCCTCCTCTCAGCCAGCCGTCCGGCGCTTCAGGGCAATGCCTCCCCTGTTTTTCAGTTCTAAATTCAAATTTGTTGTGGTAGGCTGCATTCGGGTGTCTACCCTATGCTGCCATCTTGGTTTCTCTCTCAGTCCACTCCCTTTCTATGCCCCTGTTTCTATTATATTCACCAGTTAATACTGTTCATCAGATTTTTTATTTTCTTGGTTTTTAGATTCACTTGTTGATAGGTTGTTCATAATTTTTTATCTTTATCTTTTTCTTCTTCTTCCTCTTCTTAAAGAATACCTTTCAGCATTTCATATAATTCTGGTTTGGTGGTGATGAACTCCTTTAGCTTTTTCTTATATGTGAAGCTCTTTATCTGAACTTCAATTCTGAATGATAACTTTGCTGGATACAGTAATCTTGGTTGTAGTTTCTTGCTATTCATCACTTTGAGTATTTCTTGCCATTCCCGTTTAGCCTGCATAGTTTCTGTCAAGAAATCAGCTGACAATTGTATTGGTGCTCCCTTGTAGGTAACTAATTGTTTTTCTCTTGCTGCCTTTAATGTTCTCTCTTTGTCTTTTGCTCTTGGCATTTTAATTATGATGTGTCTTGGTGTGATCCTCTTTGGATTCCTTTTGTTTGGGGTTCTGTGCACTTCCTGGACTTGTAAGTCTATTTTTTTTCACCAGGTTGGGGAAGTTTTCGGTCACTGTTTCTTTGAATAGTTTTTCAGTATCTTGCTCTCTCCCTTCTTCTGGACCTTCCATAATTCTGATGTTGGTACGTTTGAAGTTGTCCCAGAGGCTTCTTACACTATCTTCAATTTTTTGGATTCTTTTTGCTTTTCTGGTTGAGTGTTTTTGCTTCTTTGTATTCCAAATCTTTGACTTGGTTCTTGCAATCCTCTAGTCTGCTTTTAGGTCTCTGTATAATATTATTTCATTCAATGTATGCTTAATTTCTAGTTGATACTTTTTCATATCCTCGAGGGATTTGTTAAATTTATTGGCCTTTTCTAGGAAATTCTTGAAAAACCTTATAACCATGGTTTTGAACTCTATATACAGTTGTTTGTTTTCCTCCATTTCCTTCATTTGTGACCTGCCTCTTTGTCTCTGAATTTTGGCTGCTTCCCTGAGTTGATGGAGTGGCTTTGTGTGCTAGGTGTCCTAGCTGGGGCCCAGTGGCTCTGCCTCCCAAGTTACCTGAGGTGGACACTCTTGGTGCACCCCTTTGTGGGCTGTGTGTGAAGTCTTGTTGTAGTTAAGCCTAGAGTGTTATTAGTATCACTGGGGGGAGTTGACTTCCAGGCCAATTGGCTATGAGGATCAGCTGTGTCTGTTGGGAGAGCTTCTGTGCTCAGTTTGGATGGGGCAGAGTCTCAGGGTGGAGCAGACAGCCTTGGTTTCCCATCAGCCCCACCCTACGAGGCCCCTGTGTTTCAGTGTCCCATGGCAATAGCTGCACACACATATGAGAGAAGGCTGCCCTTGAGATTCACCTGCTTCCAGACAGTCCAGTTTCTCCCCAAGTGAGTCTGGATACCCAAAGTCTCACCCGGAAATGGATTTCAGTGCAGTCAGGAGGTTTTGTTTCCCTCCCTAATGAGACAGCTAGCCACACGCTTACTGCCCACCCTCTCTGCACACCTTGAGTAAGCCAGCTGCGTATTCAACTGCCTGCCATTTCTGCACTCGGGTCTCTGCACCTCTGCCCTCCACAGCTCCTCTGGGTCTCAGTGTCCTTTTATCTTTCCTTATAGTTGTAGAATTTCCACTCAGCCAGCGCTTTCCACTGGTTCTGTATGATGTCAGCTCTGTCTTCCAGTTGCAGTTTTGAAATTGTGCAAGGCAGCAGTATAGGTGTTTACCTATGTTACCTTCTTGGTTTCTTCCCTGTCACTCTGAGTTTTTTAAAAATAACTTATTTAAAAATAAATAAATGTCAGAAAACTGCCTCAGCAAGAGACTAATCACTTGTCTAAGGTCACAAACTATTAGATGGGACAGGGTCTCAAGATCCAGGCAGTTCTAAATGTTATTACCAAATATTCTTCTTCTAAATGTTAAAATGTGGCACAGTATTTTGCAGCTGCAGCTGTTCTAGGATGAGCTTGAGGGGTACTCAACTGGATACATGTAGGCAACTGGATACATGGAGCCAGCTGCAGGGAAACAATTCAGGGAGCCAGAGCTTTGGGTGTGAATCCCCTCTCCTTTATTTGGTACAAATAAATAAAACTACTTTGTGACAACAGCACCTGGTTCTTCAACATTGAACCGCTTGAGTTCAGTAACAAGACTAGGAAGTGACAAGTGTGGGACCCCATGCCAGAGCCCACCCATGCTTTTTACCTCTACACCCAAGAGGGGGGAAAATGCTCTCGCCATGTTAGGGATAGAGACCTCTAGAGGCTGCTAATCTAGGGCTGCAAGGGAGGCTGCCACTGATGGGATTTGTCGCTTTTAGGATCCTCAAGGCTTCTGCATTCTTGGACTTTTTAAGGGGACAAGGGCAAAAGCTTTGCTCAAGGACATAAGAAGGGGTGGAAATGGAGGGAAACAAAAGAAAGCATCTAAAGTCTTTCTCTGAAAGGTCAGTCTGAAGAGGAAATCTCCGTTCACCAGCCAGAAGAAGAAAAAGGCTAACATTTCAGTTATGGTTTAGCTATAATATGCAATGATTTGTGCCCCAGAACTCTTCCTGTCCTGTATGGGGAACCCCACCGTGAAGATCTCAGCCCTGATAAACCACAGCCTGAAGGGGAATTGTGGTTCCAGTTCTGGCTTCTCCACTGTATCATGTGGCTGTCTTCCCCCAACCTGTCCCTCCTCTGGTAGTCCTTCTCCTGGCCAATGGACCTGTCACTCACCCAACTCATTATGTCCAAAAACCTGTAAGTCTCCCAAGATTCCTCCCTCTGCCACTTCCCATCCAATTGGTTACTGAGTTTGGTGGATCCTATTTCATAAATCTGTCGCCTGTTCATTCGTTACATATGCATTGTGTGCTAGGAGTGTGCAGTGAGGCACTGAAGGTGCTCCCCAGCCCCGCCCTCCCCGCCTCAAGGAGCTGAGCCCCTGAAAGAGGGCATTTTGCAAAGGAGAATCTACTGCTGAGCAGAAAGTCAATGCAAGAAATGGATGGGGGGAGGTGGGGTGGTGGTGGCAGAAACCGGTTTGGCTCAGTGGTAGAGCGTTGGTCTGCGGACTGAAAGGTCCCAGGTTTGATTCTGGTCAAGGGCATGTATGTTGGTTGCGGACACATCCCCAGTAGGGGTTGTGCAAGAGGTGGCTGGTCGATGTTTCTCTCTAATCGACGTTTCTAGCTCTCTATCTCTCCCCCTTCCTCTCTGTAAAAAAATCAATAAGATATATTAAAAAAAAAGAGAGAGAAAGAAATAGAGGGAGGGGGGGTTGGAAGGGGCATATGACGCATCTAGGGAAGCTTATGGGCTTTTCTTGTGGCCATGTGCCACCTAAAAGGTGAGCAATGTGTACCGGAAAGCCAGGAAAGGGGAGGCGAGTGCGCAGTTCTGGAGGCAAGCACAGAGCCCAGAATGTGGAGACCTGGCAGTTCACTACGACCTCAGAGCCTCCCAGCTGGCCCCAGCCGGGTCTTAATCCAGCACTGCACTGCCCAGAAACTTCCCATTCCTGAACAGAAGGGAAGGGGGAAATTTGATTAAAGAAAAAAAAAAAAAAAAGCGCCGCTAAAAAAACAGCATCCGGTCTTTTTCGGTCTCTGGAAGTTTGCCCATCAAGCCACCTCCCCGCGCTTGTCATTCGGTCAAGTCCCCCCTGGCCCCTCCGTGTAGGCACTTGGCAAGGAGCCTACCAGTACTTCCCACCTTTGGGGTGCTCGGTGAATTAGAGAAGACAGACGGCGGCGAGGGAGCAACTTTGAGAGCTTGGGGGGGGGAGGGGGGAGCCATACTGGACGCCGAGACAAGATGTTAACGACCTGGTCGACCATGACTCATGCCCACTCCTCGCCGCTGTCACTATGGGCTCCAGGCCTGCCACCCGCTTGTCCTTGCCCAGGTTTTCCTTAGTGCTTGATCCACTCTCTCACCACCCTCCGCCACCCCGCAAACCTCTCAGCCCTAAGCCACTGCCCATCTAGACCCCACTCCAGCCCCAGGTCTTGCTCCAGCAGCCAGACGTGGCGACGCGCGGCTCCGGGAAGGTGGCCGGCGGGGCCACATCCTGGCGAGCAGCCGCTGGAGGGCAGCCGCTGGCGGGCCTCCCCACGCCAGCTCCACCCCAGGCCGGCTCTCCCCCAAGAACTTCCCACACTCCGCTACAACGCGCGCGCGCGCGGCGCGATGACATCGTGGGAGCTGCCCGCGTCAGCTGCCTTTCCCACGAGGGCGGGAGCGGCTGCTCTGCGGGCAGCCCGGCCTATGGCTGGCGTTCTCAGATCGCGGGCTGCCCGAGCCCGGGGGAGACTCGCGGGGGCTCCCTGAGGGTGGGCGGGGGTGGGGACAGAGCTCGCGATCCGCGATTTCGAGGTCCAGCAGCGACTCGGGGCGGGCAGAGGCGGGACCGAGGGCGGGGCGGCCGCAGCCTCCGCCATTCCCCGCTCCCTCCCTCCCACCCCCCGCCGCAGTGCACCACCTCCCCGCCCCCCCTTGTCCCCCACCGCGCGCGTTCCGCCCGCCCCGGAGCCTCGCCCTCCGCCACGATGAGCAAATGAGCGCGAGCGAGGGCATGAAATTTAAATTCCACTCAGGGGAGAAAGTCCTGTGCTTCGAGCCTGACCCCACCAAGGCGCGAGTGCTGTACGATGCCAAGGTGCCGCCGCGGAGGGACAGGGAGGAGGCGCGGGTCGGGGACCCCGCGTCGGAATGCGGGTGTGGGCGCGGGCGCGGATGGCGGCGGGGAGAAGGGGAAGCGGCCGGGCCTGGGTGCTCTCTGCCTGTGACACCTGGGCCTGCGCCGCGCCGCGCGAAAGGCAGGGGGCGTTCGCGGGCGCCGCGCTGGGGACTCGGGGCAGGAGTGCTTCCGCTTCCGGCCGGCGGACGGGTCTGCGCACGCGCGGCCTGAAAGCTCGCGTCTGAGGTGTCGCGAGGTTTTCGCAGTGCGTCGATTGTTCATGTGACCGCAGCGTGGGCTGCGTGTCCAGGAAACCGTTCGCGGAATGGATCCTTAAGTCCCTGCGTCCTGCGCGGAGCGCCTCGTGGGCTTCCGTGTGACATCGTGATCGACCGACCCAGGTCCTAATCCACAGCGCCACAGCGCTGCCTGTCGACTCGCGACGTCATTGTCCCGGGGCCCCAGTCGTGCCCGGGACCTTCCCGTAGGGTCCAAGGGCTAGGCTGACCCAGTTATCTTCCTTCAGGGCCTTTATGTTTTCAGTCTCCAAGTCGCACCCCCTGCCCATCAGGGGGCTCGCGGGGGTCTGAGTCACATTTGTAGCCCCTAAGGTCTGGATGGCGAGAGGGAGTGGGCATCGCAGTCTGGTGGTGGGGTTGGCCGGGGGTCCCAGGTGCGTCCAAGCAGCGCTGCCCACTGGGGGACTTACCAAGGACTCCGGGTTCTGTGGGTTATATTTTAGGGTTCCGCCCCGGCAACCCTTGTCTCTGATTTCCTTCCCCGCCCTGAGTATCCCCTGGGGTGACACGCCCCATCATTTGCCCCAGATGTTCCCTCTGGGGACACCACTGGAAGGGTGGGGGCTCGGGACACAGCGGAGCTGGAGAAACTACAACTCCCAGAGGCCTCAGGGCCGCAGCTCTCCTGTCTGGCCAGGACTCTTCTTTACTGACAGGTTGGCTGGCCAATGGCTTTGAAAGATGCACCCAGTCCCGCACGCAGAGACCAATCACGGGGAGTTTGGAGGGATGTTTCCTTTTTTGAGGCATCCAGTCAGGAAAAAAATGGAATTGAAAGGAAAAATGTTTCAGCACAGCTCGCGGTCTAAAAAAGGAGCGAAAACTTCCTTTTCTTTTCAAAAAAGGTCTATGATCTAGTTTTCCTGACCTATGTTCCAGGGTTCAGTATATTCAATCATTTGTGGACAATATTTTCTGGTTTCAGATTGTGGATGTTATTGTTGGGAAAGACGAAAAAGGCAGAAAGATCCCGGAATATCTAATCCATTTTAATGGTTGGAACAGAAGGTGAGTGTATTTGTTAGCCCTGACTGAAAATTGATCATCTTTGCAGCACAGGGACGTTGGGTTTTGTTAAGTTTCAGAAACACTTGTAGAAAAGTTTCCTGTCTTCTTTTTGCTTTTTTAAAGTCGAACTTTGCCTATGCAGAAGCATGATTACTTTTAAGTGGATTCTATTTGACTTCTCTGGGTAATTCTGGGAGCCCCAGGTGCTTCTATGTATAAATGAATTCCTTTTTCAGTTTGTTTGCAACTTTTGTGATTTTAAAAATATTTAAACAGTTTTTCCAAATGTAAATAATTCTGGGACACTTCCGTTCCTGTGAGGTGCTTTTGGCATTTGTTTTCTAGCTCATTAACATGCTGAATCTCATACCCTTTGCTTGTTGTTTTGCAGCTGGGATAGGTGGGCAGCTGAAGACCATGTCCTCCGGGATACCGACGAAAATCGGAGATTACAACGAAAATTGGCCAGAAAAGCTGTAGCTCGCCTGTGAGAATACAACAATCCTGACAAATGGGTTTCTCTTAATGTGTAGAATTTTTAGGGTATAAAAGTAAACATAGGACAAGCGTGGTTTATTATGCAACTTGACTTATGAAAAATGTGTTCGCGGAGAGTGTCTGTGTTGTAAGTAACTGCTGTGTTTTCCGAGAGGATATTGTATATATACTAGTATACAAATCTGAAGTGGAGATCACCATTTATGTTCTAAAGCTTACGTATGTGTCAGATGCTTAAGAATCTTTGTTGTTCTATCTTGCTTTTTTACCTCGAGACCCTTATCAGTCAACATCAGCATTTATTTCAGTCGTGTGTTGTTTTTCCGCCAGAAGCACAGGAAGGAAGAAGAAGCGCTGCCGGCTGCCTGGTGTTGATTCCGTCTTAAAAAGCCTCCCCGTTGAAGAAAAAGATAAAAGCAATGAGAACTGTGAGTGGCCTGCGTTATTTTCTCTGCTGAAATGAACTTTCACCTCCTGGCCAGCATGGCTCAGTGGTTGAGCGCCGGCTTATGAACCAGGATCCTGGTCACAGGTCAGGGCACATGCCCGGGTTGTAGGCTCCATCCCCTGTAGGGGGCGTGCAGAGGCAGCCGATCCATGATTCTCTCTCTTCATTGATTTTTCTTTCTCTTCCTCTCCCTCTCCCTTCCTCTCTGAAGTCAGCAAAAATTTATTTAAAAAGTAATAATAAAAGAACTTTTACCTAGTTCTTTTATATGTACTGCAGGACTGAGGGGGGAGGAATCATTGAAATTACACAGGGAAAGGTTTTTAGCTCATTACATATGATATTTGCCTCTTTCGATTTTGGCAAGTAAGTTAGCAATCAATAAAATCATAATTCGTCCTCATCAGACATGCTTCTAATCTCTGCCTTCTCGGCCAGTGTCTATACCAGTGGTCGGCAAACTCATTAGTTAACAGAGCCAAATAGCAACAGTACAATAATTGAAATTTCTTTTGAGAGCCAAATTTTTTAAACTTAAACTATATAGGTAGGTATATTGTTATTAACTTAATTAAGGTACTCCTAAGCTGGCCTTTGCTAAAAACTCAAGGGTCCAAAGAGCCACATGTGGCTCACAAGCTGCAGTTTGCTGACCACTGGTCTATACTCATCCCTCAGAGTCCATTCTTATGGTGCCTCCTGGGCCTGGGCCTCACTTTCCAACACAGCAGGTAACCATGGGATCCTGTATGACTAAACACTTCCAGATCATTGTCTTTACTTACTTTTCTTTTTTAAAATACATTTTTATTTATTTCAGAGAGGAAGGGAGAGAGAGAAAGAGAGAGAGAAACATCCGTGATAAGAGAGAATCGTGCATTGTCTGCCTCCTGCACACCCCCCACTGGGAATGGAGCCTACAACCCGGGCATTATGCCCTGATCTGGAATCGAACCTGGGACCCTTCAGTCCATTGCAGGCTGACACTCTCCACTGAGCCAAGATCATTTTCTTGGGTGTGTTTTGCATTCATTGAAATCAGTGTTCTATTTTTCAAAATAAAATTTCCATTCTGAAAGGGACGATATTTGCGTTGGGCATTTAAAATAGATGTAGGACCGCCGTTGGTGGATGCCGGCAGTAGGACACATCCCACCGTAAGGAACCGGAAGAGCTGGGAATTGGCTAACCCAGGCTTGCTTGGTGTTTGTGTCTCACCTAGCTGTAAGCACTTCCTCTGGTGACAGCAGTGACGAAAAGGATGGCGCAATAAGTGAAGAAAGTGACATTGAAGAAAAGACTGAAGTGGTAAAGGTCTCATTGTGAACACTCTTTGGTATTGATTGTAGTGGTAGAACTCTCCGGCCGTGAATCGTTTTGTCAAAATACGTTCTTAAACTTCCTATTTAATGAAAAGTAACTCATTCATAGTCACCGTGTGACCCCTCGGTGGCTCCTTACAGCCATGAAGTATTGGCACGAGTCAGAGTGACCTCTTACTTGCCAGGGGCATGGTGGCCTTGGTTTTTATAACGGTGACTGCTTTTAAATGCTGTGTGTCCGCTTAGCATCTCCTGCCCGCCTTCCGTCCTCCTGGGAAATGAAAGGGGGAAGAAAGCGTTTGCAATGCGGTCAGTGTCCTAAAGCGAGTGACCGTGGCCTTGAAGGCGTTTTTCAGCAGAACACGTGTCGTTCCTGGGGGAAATGCCGAGGGTTAACTGGCTTTGTATCATATCCGTCCTCTGGATGTGGCCTCTCCTGCGAGTGTAAGACGTTTAAAACGATGCACTTTTCCTGTCGCAGAAAGTCGTGCTGGAGCCGCGCAGGAAGAGGGCGATGGAAGAGAGAGCCATCACCATAGACATCCCCGATGTGTTGAAGAAGAAGCTGGAGGACGACTGCTACTACATCAACCGGAGGAAGCGGGTACACATGGTGTCCGACAGAACGAACCCCCAAGCCCCGTCCTTGCTAACCTTGGGGCGATGGGACGTCCGCGTTAAGTGGGGTACCCAGGCATGGCTCACGATTATCTGACAGCAGCACCCTGCTGCTAATGGCATTCAAGCGTGCAGGATCTCTCCCAGCCTGGCTGCCCCAGAGAACCCACTAGGGCAGTGGTCAGCAAACTGCGGCTCGAGAGCCACATGTGGCTCTTTGGCCCCTTGAGTGTGGCTCTCCCACAAAATACAATACCACGGCCTGGGCGAGTCAATGTTGAAGAAGTGGCGTTAGAAGAAGTTGAAGTTTAAAAAATGTTGCTCTCCAAAGAAATTTCAATCGTTGTCCTGTTGGTATTTGGCTCTGTTGACTCATGAGTTTGCCGACCACTGGCCCAGAGGGTAAGAGGACGTGGGCTCTGGTGGGGGCGGCGGTGGAACTAGTTTGCAAGGCTCCCAGGTGGTTCTGGTGCAGTGGTCAGCAAACTGCGGCTCTGTTGACTAATGAGTTTGCCGACCACTGGACCAGACTAAATGTTACCGTGGAGTTGGATTAGGCAGTTGTGGCATATTGTGTGCAAAGAGGTAAAGGGTAGGATATGACAGTGGTTGGCAAACTAATTAGTCAGCAGAGCCGCAGTTTGCTGACCACTGTTCTAATGGCTCACTAGCATAAGCCTCACTGCTGGCATTCATTTAAAAAATTGATGCTGTAATGTACATGGTGATGCCATCAGTATGCAACAAACCATCAAAGATAAGGTGACCAGACATCCTGCTTTTGGCGGGACAGTCCCGATTTTTAACAATTTGTGCCGCGTCCCGAGGCGTTTTAAAAAAGTCCCGATTTTTGGACGTCTGGTCACCTTAATCAAAGAGCTTCAACGTGTATTTATGTAAAAGGTTCTTTCCCTGCAGAGTAAGCTTGCTTTCTGAGTCTGAAAAGGCGATGTAGAGAGACTCCGTTGGCTGGAGTAGGTGGCCGGGCCGGGGGGAGGTGTGCAGCAGCCATGTCCATTCTATTGACAGTTAGTGAAGCTCCCGTGCCAGACCAACATCATCACCATCCTGGAATCCTACGTGAAGCATTTCGCCATCAACGCAGCCTTCTCGGCCAACGAGCGGCCCCGGCATCACCACGCCATGGCCCAGGCCAGCATGAACGTGAATTACATCCCGGCAGAAAAGAAGTGAGTGGGTGAGGGGGCTGGCATCGGCTGGGTCCCTTAGTTTGTAGCAGAGAAGTGACTTATTTAGAAGAGGCAGCACTGTCTCCATTTCAGTCTTATGCATTCGTTTAATGTGTCACTTAACATGCAACTTGGTATCAAAATGTTCTTTTTGTTTTGTTGGTTTTTTTTTTTAATATATTTTATTGATTTTTTACAGAGAGGAAGGGAGAGGGATAGAGAGCTAGAAACATCGATGAGAGAGAAACATCGACCAGCTGCCTCCTGCACACCCCCTTCTGGGGATGTGCCCACATCCAATGTACATGCCCTTGCCTGGAATCGAACCTGGGACCTTTCAGTCCGCAGACCAACGCTCTATCCACTGAGCCACACCGGTTTCAGGTGTTTTGTTTTAATGTTCAATAACTGCACCTGGTCTGGCTGCAACACCAAGACCAGCTTGCTCAGTGATCTAAGTCAGGGAGGAACTGCTGAAGCACCAACTGGGAAGTGAGGATTTGATCAGAGCCCATTTACAAACATGCCTTCGCTCTGGCCCGAGGAACTGTCCCCTCGGTCTGCCTCAGTGCCCATGTCTCAGCTGGAGGGTGTAGAGTTGGATAAGAGGAGTGTTTGAGTTCAGACAGGTGTGAGGCATTCATGGGTCCCGCCCCTTCCGCCCCCAGTCATTGGGGTCTGTCCGCCTTCTGCAGCCCCTGCTGCTTGGGCTCCTTGTGGGCCCCTGTGCGCATGCGTGTGTTCAGGGTGCATTAAAATCACTACAGACTCTGCGCTTTGTATCACAGGCGGGTGTTCCCACTGAATTCTTGGTTGTTGGCATCTCCAGACACATTGTATTCTCAGTGTGTGGGTGTGATATACAGTGTTTTAAAATCGGCCTTATGAAAAATGGACAGCCTCGTGGTGACACTGGCAAGTTCCGTGTCTCGCATCTCTGATGGCTTCTTTCTCATCCTCGCAGCGTGGACCTCTGCAAGGAGATGGTGGACGGATTGCGAATAACCTTCGATTATACGCTCCCGTTGCTCTTGCTGTATCCTTACGAACAAGTTCAGTACAAAAAGGTGACCTCGTCCAAATTTTTCCTTCCCATTAAGGAGAGTGCCACCAGCTCCAGTAGGTAAGTCCCAGCGTGGAGCCCGTGGTTGGATTTTGAGCGGCGCTCTCACTTGCTGGTTGTGGGATGCGGGGAGGTGCTTCTGAGCCTCTCGCTTCGGCCTCCTGGAGCAGGCACTGATCAGGAAGGAGGCTTGTGGCCTTCAAGTCAAGGTCCCTGCCCTTCTGCGGGGCTGTGTCAACGTGTTTGCCCCATTGCTGGCCAAGCTCACCCACATCTCTTCTGGAGGGACACTGGAGTCCCCCGACCTAACGTCCTCCCATCCGTACAAGCTGTGTCTCCCTCGCGCCTCACCTGCATAGTCTGTCTGGTGATGGCCACTTGTCCATCCCCTCCTGCCTGCTCGCCCCCTGCCTCTGCCCGCCACTGCCGCCCCTGCCCGCCCAGGACACTGTCAGCGTCCCCTTGGAGCCTTTCCCTTCCTCCCTCCTCTCTTTGCGGCTCCTGCCTCCAGGTTCTCTCGCTGCCTCTAATGGCTTGTCTCAGCCTGTCTTCCTTTCCTGTTGCTGTCCCCCCAGGGGAGAAGCCCGTACGACTCCCCGGGGCCCTGCGCCCATGTCCCCATGCCCCACTCCTAACCTCTGGTCCCCGTGTCCCGGGGTGCTATGTGCGAGGGGTCGTTACATAGGATCTGCACCACACCGTGCCCTTCCCCTGCAGGAGCCAGGAGGAGCTCTCGCCAAGCCCGCCCTTGTTGAACCCGTCCACCCCGCAGTCCACGGAGAGCCAGACCACCGGGGAGCCGGCCACCCCCAAGCGGCGTAAAGCAGAGCCCGAGGCCCTGCAGTCGCTGCGGCGCTCCACCCGCCACTCCGCCAACAGCGACCGGCTGTCTGAGAGCAGTGCCTCGCCGCAGCCCAAGCGCCGGCAGCAGGACGCGGCAGCCAGCATGCCCAAGCTGTTCCTGCACCTGGAGAAGAGTGGGTCCCCTCCTGGGCCCTGGGGCGCGGCCAGCAGGAGGCGTGTGGGAGGGAGGGAGGGAGGGGGGACGCCTGTACAGCCAGCCGCGCATGCCTGCTGTCTGAGGATGGGGAGGACTTTCCCACAGCCTGAGAGCAGCGGGCAGAGACACAAGCCTGCTGGGCTTCAGCTCTGGAGCTCCAGCATGTCAGACTGGCAGCCGGCGGGCCGCATGCCTCGTCTATTTCAATGAGGCGTGTGGGCCGCGAGTTTGACATGCTTGCTGTGGCTGGATGCTTGGTGCTCCTGGATTAGCTATGGGTCACGTGGCCACCATCTAAGGATGGGGAGGACTTTCCCACAACCTGGGAGCAGTGGGCAGAGACACGAGCCTGCTGGGCTTCAGCTTTGGAGCTCCAGCTTGTCAGACTGGCAGCCGGCGGGCCGCATGCCTCGTCTATTTCAATGAGGCATGCAGGCGACGAGTTGGACATGCTTGCTATGGCTAGATGTTTAGTGCTCCTGGATTAGCTCTGGATCACAAGCCAGTGATCAGTCACCCCCTGTCTCCTCCCCTGATGCTGGGCGCCCACCACTTGCTTGCTGCCCCTAGGGGTTTGCCTCTGGGCATGAATGGCTACCAGCTGAATCATCCAATATGTGGCTTCTTGTCTGCGGCTCCTGGCACTCAGCATCATGCTTTCAAGGTTTATGGTGCTGTAGCTTCTATTAATAGTTGAGTCCTTTTTTTTTGCCAAAGAATATTCTAGGTGCTGTCTTATAACAGGACGGTCTTATTGCTAGAGATGAGGAAGTCCTCTACTGTGTGTAACGTCTTCCAGCAGTTTTCTCCCCAGCCACGTGACTGCTAAGTGACTGACTAATCTCTGTTTCTCCCGAAGAAACGCCTGTGCATAGCAGATCCTCCTCACCTGTGCCCGTGACCCCCAGCAAGGACGGCAGCGCCGTGTTCGCCAGCTTTGAAGGCAGAAGAACCAATGAGATCAATGAGGTAGAGAGTGCGTGTCGCTGCTCACCCCCGGCGAGCCTTTGGGGTTGCTTACGTCCTGCGGTAGGAAACGGGGTTTCCTCAGAAGCCTCTCTGGCCGTGGCCATGAGCAGGGGCCTTCAGATGAGGTGTGACAGTGTGTTCTTGGCTTTCACAAATGAGGACATTGTTACACTGACATTGGCCTTCTGTCTTAAGAAACTGGCAGGACGGAAACATGAGTACACTGAGTCCTCACTGAGCTGCAGGGATAGGTACTTGGACTTTAAGCAGAACGACATACAGTGAAACCAGTGTACCACAGGCCAGTTGTTACAAACAAGTTTAATTCCTGGCATCTCATCAACATTGTAATGAAATGATGTGATCCCAGCACTTCCTGTATTTTCAGGGTTTTTCTTATGTATTGATTTTTTTGTTTGTTTGTTTTAAATATATTTATTGATTTCAGAGAGGAAGGAAGAGGGGAGAGAGAGAAACATCAGTGATGAGAGAATCATTGATCGGCTGCCTCCTACATGCCCCCTACTGGGGATTGAGCCTGCAACCCAGGCATGTGCTCTTGACTGGAATCGAACCTGGGACCCTTCAGTCCACAGTCGACGCTCTATCCACCGAGTCAAACTGGCCAGAGCAATTTTTTTTTTTTTTAAATACATTTTATTAACTTTTTACGGAGAGGAAGGGAGAGGGATAGAGAGTTAGAAACATCGATGAGAGAGAAACATCTATCAGCCGCCTCCTGCACACCTCCCACTGGGGATGTGCCTGCAACCAAGGTGCATGCCCTTGACCGGAATTGAACCTGGGACCCTTGAGTCCGCAGGCCGACGCTTCATCCACTGAGCCAAATCAGCCAGGGCCTGTGTTTTCATTTTATAGAATAGGCATCAGAACACTTTCTCTGCAAAAGGCCAGAGAGCATATATTTGAAACTTTGGCCACACAGTGTCTGACAGGACTGCCCGACTCCAAAAGTAGCCATAGGCACTGTGTAATGAACGAGTGCGCTGTCCCATTAAGACCTGAATACGCACACACATTTGAATATCAGGTCATTTCCAAGTGTGAAGAGACGTTGTTTGTTTTTTTTTTTGCTATTTCTTCAGCCACTTAAAAATATAAAATTCGTCCTCAATAACATTAACAGCCATCCCCTTGAGGCATGCTGTGTCGGCATTATGCCAGGCCCTTGACTTAAATTACCTCGTATTCTTTCCTTGCAACGGGTTTCTGTTTTATAGATGGGGAAACTTCATTTTATTTTTTAAAATCTTTATTGTTGAAAATATTACTTATGTCCCCTTTCTAGCCCACCCCAGGCCTTCACCACCCAATTGTCTGGGTCCATGGGTTATGCATCTATGCATACAAGTTCTTTGGTTGATCTCTTCCCACCCAGCCAGCCCCGGAAAGCTTCATTCTAAAACTCCCTTTAAAACAAAAATTAAAAAGAATATATATGTATGTATAATTTTAAATTCATTTCAGGGAGGAAGAGAGGGGAAGAGAGACAGAAACATCAGTGATGAGAGAGAATCAATGATCGGCTGCCTCCTGCACGCCCCCTGCTGGGGATCAAGTTGCAATCCAGGCATGTGCCCTTGACTGGAATCGAACCTGGGACTCTCCAGTCCTTAGGCCGATGCTCTATCCACTGAGCCAGACCAGCTAGGGCTAAAACTCAATTTTTAAGGCCACTTAACTGATGTAGATAGTGAGTGACTCCAGGATTCAGGCGATGCCTCAGGCCCGCAGGCTGTTCTGTGACTGCACCTGGGGTGGGATTCCTGTGTCCGCGGCTGGGGCCAGGTGAGTACCAGGCAGAGAACATTTGGTGATGGAGGGTCAGCAGACTTGCCTTAAAGAGCCAGATTGTAGGTATTTTCAAGGTTGGTGTCTATTTTTACTCAATTCAGAAGGTCAGATTAGCTTCCAAAGTGAACATAACAGCAGCAATTCCAGGATTTTGGAACAATCGAAATATTTCTCCAAACATATTTGGGCTCTTTTTTTTACTGCTTCATTCGAGAATATAGCAGGATTTCCAATAAAGGAAAGGCGCAAAATGACCTAAGTAGTTACAGCTAACTTATAGGTAGTAGCTGTTGAAAATCAGGAAATCAAATATTTCCTTAATATAATTTCAAGTCTTCTCTTCCGCAGTTTCATTTATTTTTATAAGCTGATATTTATTTTGATAGTGACCTATTTTGTCCTCTACTTAATTTATTATAATTTTCAGATGATTAGAAGTGTTTCCATGGAAGTTGGATACTCCTATGATTGATTTAAAAGGCAAAGAGGTTCTGAAAAATGATAGTCAAAAACTATAATATGTATGCTGGTACATAATGTATATGGAAAACTTATATGTATTTCTTCTCAGGAGCCCTATATCATAATTCCCCCACTAGAAAAACGAACGTTAACATTTCGGTATATACTTCTTGATATTTTCCCCTATGTATTTACATAAGAATTCTATACAATATTTCATATTGTGCCGCTTTTTTTTTTTTTTTTTTTTTTTTGCCAATGTTGTGTTGAACTTAATTAATTTGTAGCTCGTTCCTCTCCAGCATAAAAACACATTCTATCCTCCTATGTCCTGACATCATGCCCACAAAGAGCTGCATAGGCAAGTCGGAAGGCTCCCTTCAGGACTTCCACCTTGCCAGGAAACTGGCACTCTTTCCTCCCTTCCCTGGGCCAGCTGAGGAGCCACTCCTGAGGTGCCAGAGGGCCGGCAGGCGAGGGGTGGAGGGTGACCCGTGTTTGGGCGCAGAACGGCAAAGCGCGGGGACTGCTGCGGGACTCCGGATGTTGAGGCCGTCGTTGGCGGTGTGGTAAGATGCCGTGACGGAGCGTTCTGTCTGTTCCTTTGCCAGGTCCTCTCCTGGAAGCTCGTGCCCGACAGCTACCCGCCAGGCGACCAGCCGCCTCCACCCTCGTACATTTATGGGGCCCAACACTTGCTGAGATTATTTGGTAAGGAACCCCAGTCCCCGGTTTCTTCTTCCTTCTCCCCCCGCCTCCTTTTCTTTTTAAAAAAACATATATATTATTAATTTTTTACAGAGAGGAAGGGAGAGAGAGAGAGAAACATCAATGTGTGAGAAACCATCGATCAGCTGCCTCCTGTACGCCCCCTACTGGGGATGTGCCTGCAGCCAAGGTATATGCCTTTGACTGGAATCCAACTTGGGACCCTTCAGTCCGCAGGCTGACGCTCTATCCACTGAGCCACACCGGTTTCCGGCTCCCCCCTGCCCTCCTTTTTTATTTAATTTTGCTTTCATTTTAACACACTTGTTAGCTTATGTACATCTTGTAATTTGGGGGTCTAAGAAAAATTACTGAAAGGTACCTTTTTAAAAAAAAAAAAAAAAAAAGGCCCTTAATAAATCTTACACTTCCTAAAAATTGTATTTGTAATATTTGTTCTACTGCTGTGTTCTCTCAGAGTTCTTAGTTTTGTTTGATACTGTAGGTGTTAATTTCAGATCGAATAAGGATAAACAGACCAAGTCAATCCTTGGGTGTGTCTTACCAGTTGCCAGATTCTGCCTATGGTAAATGTTTCTGCTTCTCTTTTTAATGCAGTGAAACTTCCAGAAATCCTTGGGAAGATGGCCTTTTCTGAGAAGAACCTGAAGGCTTTACTGAAGCACTTTGATCTCTTTCTGAGGTATTTTTATTACTTTCTCAAAAGTCACATCTACTGCCTTTTATCTGACTTTTCTGAATTTCTCTTCCGCAGATGTGGAAGCCAGCTCTGATGTTTAAGCGGTAGCAGTATTCCGTATCGTTAGTTCTAACTGTAATTGTAATAGAGGGGGCTTCTAAGCGATTTCCTTTGTCCACCATTTATCTGCTTTCTAAATCGAGGGTGCTAAAAAGTTGATTTCTACAGTAGAAGTGATTAAGATTGATAACTTAGTTTTGTATTTTTTATGCCAGAGTGCCTTTAAAAAAAAGTATTAGACTTTTCTTTATTGCCAGTACATTAACTTAAATATTAGCATTGGCAGGTTGGAGTTTAAAGTTAAGGTAAATGATGGTGGTTGACATGGATATTGCGCATTTCCTTTTTTGCAAGTGTTGTGTTGAACTTAATTACTTTGTAGCTTGAGCCTCTTTTGTGAGTGAAGGCAGAGAAAAGCATGTCCTTCCCCTGATAGGGCCAGTCATTTAGCACATCACAGGATCACTTAGCACATCACAGGATCACTTAGCACATCACAGGATCACTTACTCCACCTCTCCCTTCCCACCCCCACCATGCTGTGGCCCAGCTCTCTGGCTCCCCCACCCAGATGTCTGTTGACCAGTTCCTCTCCTGCTGGCACCCTGCTCACCCGTTGTCCTCTCCACCTGACTATTTCTTCCTTCTCTTGAAGCTCTTGCCCTAACCAGCAAGAGCCAATCAAGTTCCACAGAGCTGAGAGTGCTCATCCGGAGAACTCGGTCTTGGAGTTGTTAAAAGATACTTTCAAGTAGCCATTTCCAATAAAGTACCCGTGAGTGAAGATAGACTTGGTAACGTTTTTTTCTAAACAAGTTTCAAAATTAGCCTCTCCCCTCCCAACCTCCCTGTCAGACAAACCCACAAGCCCCTTTGGCATAAAAGTTTTGTAAACTGAGCCCTGGCTGGGTGGCTCGGTTGGAGCATTGTCCTGTACACGAAAAGGTTGCGGGTTCGAGTCCTAGTCAGGGCACGTACCCAGGTTTCAGGTTCAATCCCCGGTTGGGGAAAGTATGGGAGGCAACCGACGAATGTTTCTCACATTGATTTTCTCTCTCTCTCTCTCTCTTTCTCTCCCCCTCCCCCCCTTCTCTCTAAAAATTAATAAACATATCCTCTGGTGAAGATTAAAAAAATATTTTTAAATATTTTTATAAGCTGAAAGCAATTAATGCCAACCAACTATGAAGAGATAGCTGTACGTTAGCATAGCAAAAACTGCTAATTGTGAAATATGCCCAATACAAAATAGAAATTGGGATTTTAGGAAGTAATTAAAAAGATTTACAAATAAGTATAGTAATTGGTTTTGAAAATGTATCCAAAGGCATCAACTAGAGCAGTGGTCGGCAAACTGCGGCTCTGTTGACTAATGAGTTTGCCGACCACTGAACTAGAGAATCATTAGTTGCTGTAAAAATGATACAATCAAAGAAGGAAAAGTCCACTCTTGAATGACACTTCAGAGTAGCATCTGTGTTGTATTCTCTTGAATGGTCAGAAATCCATGCTAGGCATAAGTCAGCCTTGTTTACATTTTGGTCTGTAAGCTGGAACTGGACCACTTCCGGCATGACAAATTAGGACCCCGAGTCCTCTGTACTTGCTGTATCGTTCAGTTCCGGGGTAACTTGGCCCCTGAAAGCATTGTGAATCTCTAAGTGACACTTGCTGAGTTTATAATCTATTTTTTTAAATATATTTTATTGATTTTCCACAGAGAGGAAGGGAGAGGGATAGAGAGCTAGAAACATCCATCAGCTGCCTCCTGCACACCTCCTATTGGAGATGTGCCCGCAACCAAGGTACATGCCCTTGACCAGAATCGAACCTGGGACCCTTCAGTCTACAGGACGATGCTCTATCCACTGAGCCAAACCAGTTAGGACTGAAATACACATATACATATATATATATATAATATTTTATTGGTTTTTTTACAGACAGAAAGGGAGAGAAAGAAGGACAGAGAGCTAGAAACATCGATGAGAGAGAAACATCGACCAGCTGCCTCCTGCACACCCCCTTCTGGGGATGTGCCCACAACCAATGTACTTGCCCTTGACTGGAATCGAACCTGGGACCTTTCAGTCCGCAGACCAACGCTCTATCCACTGAGCTAAACCAGTTTCGGCAGGACTGAAATATATATATATAGCAAATGTCAAATCTACCCAATTCAGGGCCAGTTTTTAGTTTTTATTTTTTATCTTTATTGTTGGAAGTATTACATATATCCCTTTTTCTCTCCTTTGACCCCCTCCAGCCTGCCCCCCACCCCTTGCCCTCCTCCCAGGCCGCCCTATTGTCTGCATCCATGGGCCATGCATGCTAGTACATGCATACACATCCTGTGGTTGATCTCCTCCCACCCACCACCCTCCTGCCTTCCCTCCGAGACCGCTCACTCTGTTCCTTGTCTCTGGATCCTCTCCGTCCATCCGTTTACTCGGTGCATTGGCTTCCACATGCGAGGGCGATTGTGGGGTCCTTCCTCCCCCTGACGGGCTGCTTTTGTCCCCGCAGGTTTTTAGCCGAGTACCACGACGACTTCTTCCCAGAGGCTGCCTACGTTGCCGCCTGCGAGGCGCACTACAGCACTAAGAACCCCCGGGCCATGTACTAGTGCCCGCGGCTCTGAAGAACAGCCTCTCTGGACGGCTCCCTGGGGAGAGCTGGGGAGCCCGCCCTTGGGGATCCCAGTTATTTGAGTTACTCCATACTGTAGTTTTTTCTGTTATGTAGTACTTTCCCGATGCCTGATTGGCCTCTGAAATCCGGCCCAGCCATGGCCTGTGTCCCCTGGGAGGCAGAGAGAGCACCTTGTCCCCGGTGACACGTCAGGGGACGTGTGCGCGGGCCAGGCTGTTTCCATAGGAATCGGCATCGTTAGCAACAATCCCCCTTTTTTTTAGTTCTTCGTTAGCACTGAGCAGAATGGTTTTGCCCACTTTCTATTCTTAGATGACCCCGAGCAACTCCTGACAAAGCTGAGTTTGGCTCGGGAAATGCGAAGTAGTCCCCAAGTATTGTAGAAGGAATCGCTGGTGGAGGCGGACGGAGAGGGGCCTCGGGCATTGGCCTGGCCGGCTGGCTCCTCTTCTTAAAGCCTTGCCGGTGGTGATCGAAGGAAAGCGTCGCCTGACTTGTTTGAGATGTCCCGGCCCTGCCTGGCTGTGTAACATACGGTTCCCGCTCTGTGAGATGCTCTTTCGGATGGCCTGAATAAAGCCGCCCGGCTTGGCAAGAACCAGGAGGGTTTGCAGTCTGGCCTGGTCCTCTTTCTTATTTCTAAGAGCCGTAGGTGACTCTTGGCTCTGAACTTCTGTTTTGTTCGCCTTCGTGCCTTTTCAGGGATGGCCTCGGTTTCCTCGCCCGGGACTGTGTGTGCTTGGTGGCAGGGCTGGCAGGCGGGCACTGGGAGTGGGCGCAGGTCTTGCCTGTCTTGTTGCTGCCATCCGGGGTGCTTGCGGGTCCACCCGTGTGTCCCCTGCCGCCCCCGCCAGCTGCCGATCTCTCAGGTCCCCCTTCTGGTCCTCATCACAGTCTCTCCCGGGCCTCAGCGCACCCAGTGGCTGAGATTTCAGTCCCTCGCCCGCCTGGACGTCTTAGAAAATCCTAACCCGGTGGGAGGGATGTTGTCCCTTGCCAGCCTGAGGATAGCGCTGGCCTTATTTTGTAATCCAGGTCCGTCGTCCTCAATCTCCAAAGGCCGTTCACTGGTCATGAACAACAAGGGCCACAGGGATTTTAAAAAATATATTATTGATTTTTTTACAGAGGAAGGGAGAGGGATGGAGAGCCAGAAACATCGATAAGAGAGAATCATCGATCAGCTGCCTCCTGCACACCCCCCATTGGGGATGTGCCCGCAACCAAGGCACACGCTCTTGACCAGAATCAAACCTGGGACCCTTCAGTCTGCAGGCCAATGGTCATCCACTGAGCCAAACTGGCTAGGGCGATTTTTTATTGTTATTATTATTGATTTCAGAAAGGAATAGAGAGGAAAACATTAGTGATAAGAGAGAATCATTGAGCGGCTGCCTCCTGGGGATCAAGCCCACAACCTGGGCATATGACCAGACCAGGAATCAAACCGTGACCTCCTGATGCATAGGTCGACGCTCAACCACTGAGCCATGCCAGCCGGGCCGCAGGGGATTTTATTTCATTTTTTAATTTGTAAATGGTTTGATCAAAGAAACTTCTGCATATACTGACCAGTGAAAATCAGGACCTCTAATGCAGTGGACATCATCTTAGTGCATGTCGTTGCTAAGTAACTCAGGTTTCCCTGTCTGATCTGGAGTAGCGTTGGGGTTCACCCAACTGTCACCTTCTTGGCTTTACGCAGTGTGTGCACAGCGGTGCCCACAGCAGGCTCGGGCTGGCGCAGGAGTGGAATCTAATTCTTCATGGCCCAGGCGGGACAAGGTCCCCTCCAAGCATCTGCTCGCTGAGTGTCTCCAGTGAGATGAGCACAGACTGCCTCTTGGGACATCTATGCTATTATGTATGTCAAGTTTACAGTTGATTCATTTTCTAATAATGAAAAATGGTTTTCTTCCCCAAAGGCATTTTGAAGCACAACTTCTATGAGGCTGAGTATTTGCAGCTAGGTTGACTTAACTGTTGAAAACATTATCCTTTTTTTTAATATTATCTCTTTATTGTATATTAATAATTTTTCAAATAACTGGTCAGTTAACATATGATTTGAATGCTAGACCAGTGGTCGGCAAACTGCAGCTCGCGAGCCACATGCGGCTCTTTGGCCCCTTGAGTGTGGCTCTTCCACAAAATACCACGGCCTGGGCGAGTCTATTTTGAAGTAGTGTTAGAAGTTTAAGTTTTAAAAATGTGGCTCTCCAAAGAAATGTCAATCGTCCTGTTGATATTTAGCTCTGTCGGCTAATGAGTTTGCCAACCACGGCCTAGACCCTCCTTATAAAAATTATACATTACCTTCCTTATGTCCATTTTTAAACGGTTACTTTCCTAAACTGCCAAGCCTGCCATTGAGTGTCACATCCATGTGTTCACGTTTTCCTTTTTAGGCTTGGAAAGGTGTATTGCACATGATATTTCAGTCACTTGAGCATCAAAATCTTGTACTCAAAACCACTGAATTATACAATTTTACGGTGAGTTTTATGGTGTGTGAATTACATCTCAGTTAAAACGGAGATCTAGGTTTTGGCTATGGCTAAGCCTCAAGAAAAATACACCGTGAAAACCCATTTTTGAGAATTCAAAAGGCTGTTGGACCCAATATTCTTTCAGGCCTCACTGCCCGGGGCCGGCCACCGTTCCTTCCCTCACTGCGCTAGGTTCGCATCTCCCCTGACGTTTGTGAGCAAAGATGGACTTAGGTCCTCACACTTCTTTGGCTTCCAGATCCTTCTGCATGAAGGGACATGAGCATAAGTACATGCCACATTATTATGAAAAGCAATAAAAGGTTAATCAGTGGGTCCATGACCTCGAAAATAACATGCATTATGAATAATGCAAATCCTAGCCAGTGCATCTTTGTAAGTGTTCATGTTTCAGCATTTTGCAGCATCCGTCTTCATTCTTCCAGAAGGTCATGAAGAAGCACAGGTAGTCAAGGGTTCGGCTGCGTTTTCCTATTGATTCCTCCTCTTCTCACTCAGCTTTACAGCCTTCCGGGGGATGACTGAATAAGTCATTTCAGAGATCTCCTTTGGCACAAGGTAAATCACAGCAGCCTGCAGTCCTATTTACTGCTCCGTCTGCACCTCTGTAAAGGTGGCTTGCGAGACAATTTCGCATCGTCAGCTCCTATTTGTGGTCCGTTATTCTCCAGAAAACAATCTGCGAGAAGATGATTTGTGAGCTGAATAGAAACATGCCTATTAGTGTCAGCATAAGCTATTAAATTCTTGTGGGCAGTTCATAAAACAAAGTGGGCACCAAAAGTGCTGGACTGGAGAGAGAACCTAGTAAGATGTTCTTTTGATAGATGACAGTTCATCGGACCTTTTATATTCTGTAGCACATCAAGCGTAACCAATCATTGCACTGAAGCGCTTTATCGGTGTGGTGGTCCCGAAGGAACCATGGTCTGGTAGACAGATTGAGAAATATTTCTAGCTGGGCCTGCTTGGCTCAGGGGTTGCACGTTGACCTCTGAACCAGAGGGTCACTGTCTCTCCCTCTCTTCTCTATGAAGTCAATAAAAAATATATATATTTTTAAAAAGATTTGTTTCCAGCCACTATTTTAAAAAGAAGACATTTTGGATTTCACTAAAATTCCCTTTACCATTTCCTTGGTCTCTACCCCTGTCCTTTAAAAAAATAATAAATTTTAATTTATTAGAGAGAAAGGGAGAGAAACATGGATTTGTTGTCCCACTTGGTTATGCATTCACTGATTATTGGATGTGCCCTGCCTGGGGATCGAACCCACAACCTTGGTGTATTAGGACGATGCTCTAACCAACTGAGCTAGCCAGCCACGGCCTACCTGTCCTTTCTCCAGAGGCAGCACTTGCCCGAGTTGAGGTGTGAGCTCAGATTGTACACATGGGACTCCTTGCTCTTGTACTCTTCAGCACGTTTTTGACATACACCTAGATGCGTATGTATTCACACAGGTACGTGTTTACATACCTGATATGTATAATTTACATGTCGATTGGTGTTTTTACATATAGACACATGTACTTTCACCCTAACTGTTGTGTAAGGGCGGTCACAGGGCTCTATTAATTCCTTCCCCATTGTCGGACAAGCAGACTGCCTCTCCTCCCCGCACTAACAGCTGCAAATCAGCCCTCTACATCGTCCCTTGTGTCCCAACACAGGGCTCTAGCCGGACACCCGGGAGTCTGGATGGGCAGGCACATGCTTGTCACATCTAGGGTCTCCAGTTACCCATTAGACAGAGCCTGGCCTTATCAGGGTTTCTGGGTGTTAAGTTTCAGGGCAGCCATCTTGCAGGACAGATTTTTAACAGGGAGCTAAGAAAGGAAAAACTGGATGCAAACTTGAAATCATTTTGAAACTTCCACATTACCTCATCTCACCCCACCAGCAGCCCAGTGTTTTATGCAGTGTTGAGAATTGCTATTCGGTGGGCTCATGGAAATTAGAAAAAGAAGAAATGAATAAATTTGCTCGGCTGGCTTGGCTCAGTGGTTGAGCGTTGACCTATGAACCAGGAGGTCACGGTCCAATTTCAGGTCAAGGGCACAGGCCCAGGTTGCGGGCTCAATCCTCAGTAGGGGGCGTGCAGGAGGCAGCTGATCAATGATTCTCGCTCATCACTGATGTTTCTATCCCTCTCTCCCTCCCCCTTCCTCTATGAAATCAATTTTTTTAAAAAATGTTAAAAGGTCCTGACCAGTTTGGCTCAGTGGATAGAGCGTCAACCTGTGAACTCAAGGATCCCAGGTTCAATTCCGGTCAAGAGCATGTACCTTGGTTGTGGGTACATACCCAGTAGGGAGTGTGCAGGAGGCAGCTGATCGATGTTTCTAACTCTCTATCCCTCTCCCTTCCTCCCAGTAAAAAAAAATCAATAAAATGTATTTAAAAAAATATATATATATTAAAAGAATAATTTTAAAAAAAAATTTAAAAGATTAATTTCTTAGGGGAAGAGATGATGGTCTGCTACTTTGCTCACTAATTGGTTTCAGTACTCAGGCCAACGCTCTATCCACTGAGCCAAATCGGTTTCGGCTAAATAAATGTTCTTAGATTTTACACAACCCCGTTCAAAAGTGGATTAAAACACAAGAAAACTCAGAATAAAGGTTCTCAAAAAACTGTGTGTGCCCTCTGTCCTCTGAGCTTCTAGACCAGCTGATCTAACGGGATGATGTCAACATGCCTGGATTGCTCAGGGTGTGGAAGCCATTTGAAAGCTGGATTTCTGGCAGGTGACATTACGGATGCTCCCCACTGAAGCTGCTCTCAGGTTTAAGATTCTTACAATTGGCCTAAGAGTCGCTGGTGTGTAGACGTAAGACTCCCATCATGCATTTTGTACGGAAAAACGAGGAGGATCGAAAAGATTGGAAAACGACATCTGTGCCTTTAAAACTCCCAGGGCAGACGGACCGCAGACAGGATTCAAATGAGGATTAATATTCATCAATTAACATCTTGCTAGTCCCGGAAATCACTCTGAAAAGGAGCATCTGAGGCTGGCTTTTCAGCCTCGTCCTTCTTTAAGCTTTTTGGAATCAAGGCTCCGGTTTGGGGTCTAGACAGCGGGGTCTGCACCCTTTGGGGGAAGTTTTCTAACGAAGT